GAAATCATGCTCCAGCGGTGCAGCGGCAATGGGAGGCCCCATTAGCTAAAGTGGTGCTTCAGGTTAAGAACAGTTTCAGGTTAAGAATGGACCTCCAGAACAAATTAAGTTCTTAACCTGAGGTACCACTGTAATAGAATTGTAGAGTTGGAAGGGACCACAATGGCAATCTAGTCCAACCTCTTTCAATGAAGGAATCACAACTAAAGCACCCATGACAGTTGACCATCCAGCTTCTGCTTGAAAACCTCCAATGAAGAAGAGTCTATGGCATTTTAAAAATATTGAAAATGTGATTGTGTATGGCTGTCCCGATAGCAACAAGAACACATATAATCATGAATGCACACACAAAAAAGAATGTCTGGAGGTGCCCTCTCCTGGATGGTGGAGGTGGCTAATCTTTGACCTCCAGATGTTGCCAGACTACAAGTCCCATCAACTCTGATTAATGGCCATGCTGGCTAGAGCTCTTGGGTGTTAGAATCCAAAAATATCTAGAGGGCCACAGGTTGATCATGTCTGCTGTAGAGGGATAGGAAGCACCATTCACACTAGGGAAAGTGTGCCCACAAGAGCACATTATGTCTTCTGCTGCTGTGGTTTCAGAGATGGAGCATGATCACCCAGAGGAGGAGTAGGCCAACTAATCCTAGCTCCCATTCATGACTCGTAGATTGATTAGAAGGCTGAGGAGAAGGTCTGAGAGCAGCCTACCTTGCAATGTTTTTCCATGGTGTTGTGTTAGTGGCAGTTCTCCAACTTCCCCCATTCTTTGCTCTTTTGGCCTGAAAGTAGAGTGGGGCAGGACAGGACCATCTTTCCTCTTTTTAGAACATTGCACAAATGGAAGAGCTACTGAAATCAGGACAGCACCTTCCCCCTTTTCTCCCCAAACAAGTGAACGTGACTTTCCTTTAATCTTTCATATTACTTTGAAGAAGTTGCCAGCTACCCAACAGCATTCTTATGCTCCATCTTTTGGTCCCCAGATATTTCCAGGATTTGTCAACAAGGATGTGACAAAGAGATGATTAACACGTGTGTTCCTTGATGTAGCAGGAAGAAAATATCTAGTACAGGGGATGATACTGTCCCTAATTGCATTTCTGTGGTTAAGTGAGTGAGACAAAGGGCACCTCCAGATGAACTGTTTTTTGAGCATTTATCCTGCTTGCACAGAGATTAGAATATGTCTGGTATTTAAGGAGCATTCATTCTGGTTTGTCTGAGGGGTGGTTATACCACAATGAACTTTCATCTTGAATTCATTTTGATTTGCGTGTGTGGTGGTTATATCAGAAGCTCTAGGTGGAGCAGGGCTTTTCAGTATGGATTTCCCTGTTCCTCGGAACACCATTCCTGTTCACAATGCCCACTATCTGCCCTTTCTGGAAACAACTAGAAATATTTCAATTACAATAAGCATTTCCAGCTGGATGAAAAGGTCTCTGCTTTGGGAATTCATTTTGCATTGCTTTAAAGCCTGTTTTCCATTGTTGTTTTGTACTGTTTTTAAAAACATTTTAATTGTTTTTATTATGTTTGTAAATTGCCTTGCTGTGCAAAGGCTGATAATAATGATAATAAAGTCTTCTTATTAATAACCATAGACTTTTCGGTGCATTTCCTCACCTCTTTCCCAACCATAAAAAGTTGTTTTAAAGAATGGGTTTGTTGTAACAGAGCATTTTAATTGAACAAACCTAAATTTCTGGTATGCTCTTGAACACCAGCAACCCCCAACAAAATACTATTACAAAAGTTGGGCTCCACCATCACTCTTTGCCGAGTGGTGAAAAATTCCCAGGAGGTTCCAGGAACTCATCCAGGGTCTGCACTCCTTTGGAGAATTGAAGATGTAGCAGAGACAAATTTACCCCTTCAGTCTTCATGGAGGGAGTAGAGATCTTACAGCATTGTCATCTCAAGAAGGGCTTGTCCCCCCAGACGTGCAAGGCATCTCTCCCAGCCAGCCTTCAGCCAACCTGCCCAAGATGGATCTCCATCTTTGTTCTCCCTTTTTCTTCCAAGTACAACTTGCGAAATACACTCTTTCCCTCTCACCTCAAGCATATATACCATCAGCATAGCACCTCTGTCTGCCCAGGCCCAAGATTCCTCTTTGATGGGTCATCAAGAACTTTTGTCATCAACAACCCACTGGTTCTTGTGCTGGTCACTCACCCACATGATGCCTGTTAGTCACCAGTTGTCTTTATTCACAGTTTGTGTTATCTATTAATGTTTTTTCTATTTAGAGTAATACTGACACTACTATACTTTTATCCTTCTCACCAGGATGCCTTCCAGAAAGAGCTAACCTAAACTCTGACAAAGTAATAGTGATTCACATTGGATATCACACTAGCTCACGGGTTATTCACGAAAAGTACAGCCTCCAGAATTATGCAAGTTTGGATTTTGTCTATGTGTACTTTTTGTCATAGATAGATCCCCTCTTCTGGGCCCCATATTGCGGTCTCTGCCTATGACTCTTTTCTGTATTAAAGGCACAGGAAGTATATCACATTACCATCAGCTATGCTATCTGTCTCAAGGACTTGGAGATTATCTGTAGGGTTTTTATTCTTCTCCTCATCCTGTTGTTGTGGTTTTTCCAAATGTGTGTGTCTATGGGATATTTTCTGAACCTATTTCCAGTTTTTGATCACATAATCATCTCTGGAAAATAAATGCAATGTTCTTGTTATGCTCCCTTTCATCTTCCCAACTAGTGAGGAGCTCCAGGGTCAGCATTACTCAAATTTGAGTTCCTTTTTGGAGGAGAGATCACTGGAGACTGCCCATTCTGAGTAATTAGCCAGCAATTTCCCTAGCAAAAGGAAACTGCAGCCAGGATTGGTGGGCCATAATCCCATAGACAATCCCTTTCCATAAGCCAGACGTGAACTCCTCCATAAAGTGCAGGAACAATGGATACATTTTGTCCTGTAAAAGCAGGACTCATTTTGCAGACAGATCATTACAAACAAAGTAGAATTTCATTCCCCATTTCATACATAGTAATGTAGGGTTGCCATATTCCAAGAAGTAAAAATCCAGACACAAAAAGTTGTCATTTTGCCAATTCCCCCCGGACGCTGCTAATGCATTTTTAAAAATCAGGAAATTCCACTCACCTTAACACAAACTCAAAGGCTGATTAGAGTACTGATAATGAAAATATGCTCATGCTGTCAGTGTTATAACTAAATCTGAAGGACAGTTTAGGCAGCAGAGAAACCAAATACAGTGGTACCTCTCCATTCCAGAGGTCCGTTCTTAACCTGAAACTGTTCTTAACCTGAAGCACCACTTTAGCTAATGGGGCCTCCCGCTGCTGCCGTGCCACCACCACGCAATTTCTGTTCTCATCCTGAAGCAAAGTTCTTAACCCGAGGTACTATTTCTGGGTTAGCGGAGTCTGTAACCTGAAGCGTATGTAACCTGAAGTGTATGTAACTCGAGGTACCACTGTAACTAAATTTAAATTATGTGAAAATGCGATGATAAAAAACAACATGCAACAGAAAACCTTATGTGAGCAAGTTTCAGATTTAAGCAAATGATAAGGCAAGGCAAGGAAGTTAAAACTTAGTACTCTGTTTCTAGTTTGATGTAGGTGCTGTGAGTCACATGTATAACTGTTAGCAATGCATTTTAAAATGTTTCCTTTGTGCACTATTTCTGTATGCTGATAAAGAGGTGCCAGAAATATTGTTTTTTAAACTTGGTTCAGAATAATAACCAAAACAGACACACAACAGGCGCCATCAGTAATAATATAAGTTACCTATACCTCACCTTTATACTTCCTTTCTTCCGGGTTATTTTTGATGCTGTTGTTCCTCATGCATAAGAACAGAATATGACTTTCACTCCATTGTAGTTTATTTTCAAACTTGGGGAAGTTTGGGTGGAGAGCTTAATTTTAAAGATAAACCCACCACTATTTACATGGAGATTCCCTTGTGATTCAGACTTCTCTTCTTGCTAATACTGTTTGCATATGTTGCCTGTGTTTTTGGTGCTTCCCAAGGGTTGCCAAGGGTTATTAGTGTGTGTCTTTTCATTCTGCAAACCATCTCTTCAGTTGTCTGCATTGCACAGCTTTCCTGGTTACCTGTTTCCTGAAAACCCCATTGTGGCATTTGTACAGAGCCCCCGGTCATTTCACAGACTATTGACCTGTACACCACTATTTTATTCTTCCACTGCCACCAATTTTGTGGGGAAAAACCACATCTGACTGGGTTGCCACAGCCACTCTGGGTGGCTCCCAATAAAAAAATAGTAAAAATACAACACAACAGCAAACACTAAAATCTCTGAACAGGGCTGCCTTCAGATGTCTTTTAAAAATTACCAGTACATAGCTGTTTAGCTGTTTGACACCTGCTGGGAAGGTGTGCAGCAGGGTGGGCACGACTACTGAAAAGGCCCTCTGCCTGGTTCCCTGTAACCTCACCTCTCGCAGTGAGGGAACCGCCAGAAGGCCCTGGGCGTTGGACCTCAGTGTCCGGGCTTAATGATGGGGTGGAGGCGCTCCTTCAGATATACAGGGCTGAAGCCGTTTAGGGCTTTAAAGGTCAGCACCACCTTTCTCTGTGGACCACCAGAACCGAACTCTCGCAAAAGTGGCAGTTGCAACACTGCAGGAAGCCATGGTGATGTTAGCAACATTACAGCTGGAAAAACCCGAGGACCCTCAAGGTGCTGAGTGGGATGGAGTAGCCAGCAAGGAGGATACAGCTTAGCTAACAAAGCAATGCAAAAAGAAGGGGAAGAAGCCAGAGACCCCAGTTGAGTGAATCACATCCCAGCAAACCCCAGCAGAAGGAACAATGACTCAGAAGATGAGATTGGAAAATCAACCTTTTCATATTCTTATTCCAAGTTTCATTCTTCCTAACCTTTCCATATAACAGCAAGTTAAGAATGAATAAGTGTCAGGAGCTGAGATTTTTTGTTTTTTGTTTTACTTTATTTTTATTGTTCATCATGGGGTGCCTAATGAAATCAGAGTGTGTTGGACGTAAACAAGAGCTTTCACATTTCCTTATAAGCTTACATAACAAAAAGCAAACATGCTTAATCATCTGCTTTGAGGTTAAAAATCATTCTGATGCAGAAGAAAAACATTCAGTTCCTGTTTAAAAAAAACAAATGCAAAATCAATGGCAGTAACAGTCTCACATTTGTCAAGGCAACTGTAACCAGATCCACAGAAGTGCACGAGCATATTGTGATTTGATGCATTGCTAGCACAGGCAATAAAATGTACCAGAAGTCATGTACTAGTGCTCGCAGAGACAGGTATTATTTTTGCACGAGCAAACAACAATGATATAAAATTTTAAAATATTTCAGTGCATGATTGTCCTTGTTTGACCTATTTATTTATTTACAAACTTCCCCACCCTATCCTTCATTTTTTTTAAAAAAAAAAATCACATTCAGAAGGGCATTGCCATCAAAATACTGTGAAAAGTACAATAAAAACAATGAATTATTAAAAACAAAACAAAGGCAGCATTAAAAGCAATTCAGCTGAAATAAAAATATATCAGTGATGAAAAAACCAACCTGTCCCCTTCCAAATGCTTCCCAATCCCATTGTCTCGGACTGCTGTGCATGCTGTAGGAGTTGTAGTCTAAAACATCTGGAAAGCTACAGGTTAGCTACCCTTGCTTTAAAGGTAAGCACCAACACTTTGAATTGTGCTTGGATGTGGACCAAGAGCTGGTGAGGGTCTTTAAGCCCTGGTGGGTTGTGTTCCCAATGACGGGTTTCAGCTAGCAGCCTGGTGGCTGTACTTTCAAACTATCAGTTGTTAACATCTGACCTGAAATGGAAACTGACATGCTCAGATGTACTTAATATTGTGCAGCAGACAGTCCCCTTGCTGAAATTAACAACCTGTTTGAAGTCTTTGGATCATGGTGCTCACATTTAAATCCAAAATGCTGACTCAAACATAATAAAGATTTAGAATCTACTTCTCACAATTTCTCACTTCCTAAAAAGCATTTCCTTGAATGCTACAATTTGGAGCATTCCTAAGCTAAGAGAAAACTAAAAGGACAAAAACACGCTATGTGAAAAGCAGAAGGAGAAGCAAAAACAGGTCAATAAATTACGTTATAGCATTTCCTTTATAAAAATGTATAACACTGACAAAAGCTGAGGTATCTGTGTTAATAAATAAGTTTAAGTTAAAAATATATAGTATTGTGTAATACTGATTTCTTGTAACACCTTTGCAAAATATATTCCAGTTACAGAAGTTAGTTGTCCTGAGTGGAAAAAACTGTTTCATTTTTTCATCTTCATTGCCAGGTATTCTTCAATGTAGTTAATGAAAATGTCAAACTCTCCCATTGCTTTATAAATGCCTTTGCCTTGCAGCTGGAAAGGAAGTGGAGGGATTATTAATTACAAACTGAAGGAATAATAGTTATTGCAAGATAAATATGCATGCATTTTTCCATCATCTTTATTCTACTCTGGAGATTTGGCATGTGACAGAATTTTGAACGCTGTTGACCAGGATTGAAGTGATACTTTCCAAGAAGGAGAGGCAAGCATGGGGAACAGGACTGGGAAGGCGATGGGCTGACAGAGCAAGACTGACAGCCCCTCCCTGCGACAACACAGCTCTGCACCACTGTGTGAAGCCTAGCCTTCATTTCCCTGTCTTTATTCCATTCTGGCTTGAAGAAGGGAACAAAGGAGAATAATCATTTTTAAAAGAGGGTCTCCAGTGAAACAAAAGGCTAAGTAAACATGCCACTTGGACAAATGGATTAATAGATGAAAAATCACTGTTATTTAAAGGTTTCTGAGTGCATCATTTGGGACAATGAACACAAATTGCTAGTGTAAGAAGAATCTATCTCAATCAAGCAACCTACACAATTCCTCTTTACAGACATTACTGGATCAGTGCAGGATATACCGGTAGGTCACAGAAGGAAGCTGCTTTGAAACTACAACTTGGACTTCAGGACACTTTTTAACAGCATTCTTAACGTAATAGGAAGCAAGTCCTCATTTGTAACAGTACACAGCATAGGCATCACTTGGACATTACTTGGATGATACAGAAAATGAAAGAAAGTTGTTTGAAACTGAATGCTCACTCCAGACAGTAGAATATAGCATTTTCAGCTTCGCTGATTGAGTTGGAAAATAAAACATTAAGTACCACCTACAACTGGTTTATGTGTGTGTTTACTGTAGCCAGTGGCAACCTGCCCAAGGGTGTACATTGCATGCCCAGAAGAACACCTAAAAGCCCGGGTGCAAATACAAAGTTGCATTCCCTGCACCATGAAGTCAGCTTGCTCCCTCTCCTTAACTTCCACTTGACAGTGCTAGTCTTCTCAGGTTTTAAATGTTTTTAAACTGGCAAGCCACAGAGTTATTTGGAAGGATCCAATCTACAGTGTATGTATTAATCCAGAAGAGTAGCAAGAGGATGCATGACTCTCACACACTAATTGTTTTGGCTCTTTGATGTACTGTGCAAAGCCTCTAAACAAGGGTGTTTAGCCATGTAATATAGGAACCTACCTTTTCATAGGTTTCTTTGATGTTTCTTATTGTTTTACTCTCCTTTTCACAGATGAAGAACCTATGCTGAAAAGAGGAAGCAGAAGAATGGTGAATTCAGTGGCTTTCTTCTGGTTATCCTTGAAAATCCTAAGAGCTCTACTGCGCATTGGCCTGATTCAGCAAGGAAGAGCCATTAGTGCAAAGAAGAGCCACCCATGCAATCAGCTGCTGTTTATGCAAGGGATACAGATGTGTTCCACTGGTGATGCTCATCCAGGCAACACGGAACAAGCTGGATACATCTTTGGCCTGGTGGGGATGTGCACCACAATCCAAAGCCAAGCACCACGGAACGCAAAATCAGAGACGGAAGAGGGTAACTTCTGCTTTGTTTCAGTGCAAATGCCTTTCCCTCCAGCTCTATACTTGGCAAAGGTCCAGCCCAACTCTGGTGAGTAAGTTCATGAATACCCCTTAGTCCTAGAAAAGAGCTTTGAGAGGAGAGTTTCCTCTTGCAACTCTGCTAAGCACAGAGGGTTTCCTTGTGGCCTTGTGTGCTTGTTTTCTGAGTCATACTGTGACCAGATGACACAGTGAGGACACCACAGCAAAGTAATGTTAGGATGTGGCACTGAATAGCTCTGTCATCTGTAGTTGTGCCTTTGTAGAAGCAGCAGCTATTAGGTAAGAATTTTACGTAAGGTTTATGAAAGAAGACATCAGCACTTAACTTATATATTTATCCATAGGCTGTATGATAAAATGGTCAGTTTGTGCAGTCCCATACATAATAATCCTCTCTCTCTGTGCTTTATTAATCTGTTTATGAGGTCACCATTATAGAGAAGGTAACCTCATTCCTGAAGAAACTACAACACTGTGCTTAATGAATACAGCTATGTCAAAGACCACGTGCATCCTACAGTTGTGTGCAGAAATTGTTACTGGGTGCAGAATTGAGTACAGAAAGAATCTTGAATTTAATTTAGCTTCTAGACCTGAAGGTTGTGAAGATCTGTTTGAAATGGTGTAAGTCATGCATAGTGAAACTTTAAATCTAGAGGACAGGCTGTGCTGGATTTCTAGTATCTGCTGTGCCGTGAATGACTTTTTGCATTTGCTTAAATAGCAGTAACAAAATTAATTTGGCAAAATAAGCAAAGTTATGCACATTGTATGCTTACGTGATTACCTGGGAGGAGACATTTTTATCTTTTTTGTAGCCCAGAATATACATAACACTGACTCTGACACCTGAAGAAATGGTGAAGGCACCTTGGCAATGCCTACATTTTTGAAATCTCTAATACAGGGGTTCCCAAACTTGAGTCTCCCGCCTTCCCTAGCTAGCAGGACCAGTGCTCAGGGATTATGGGAACTGTAATCCAAAAAACAACTGGAGACCCATGTTCTGGCTTATATTTTCTGTCCCCACAACACTTTTTACAAATAGAAGTGGAAACTATTCTCTTATCTTTCAAACTAATATATTGCACTTTAGAATGTAGTCCCATTTTGTAGAGCACTAATTTTGCATAATGAACATGCTGTTTGTTTCTAGGGTCTAAGCACCATTGGATGCCATATTTCACTCCTCTTGAACAGTTCCACAGAGGCAGGAAACTGCAGTTTGATTGGGAGCATGGCAGGTGGCCTAGGAAAGGAAACGGGCCGACTTACACAGCGCTTGATTGTCTGTCTCAGATCCAGCAGCCTCTCTCCAAGAAAGTCTACAGTTCGCTGAATGGCGCTGCCAGTGGTTACATTGGGCAAAACAACTTCCAGATAAAACTGTATCATTTCTGCCACTGACTGACAGCCCAAGTACCCCTAAAGGAAGAGGAGACAATAATAATGGTAAGAGCACATGAATAAGGCATTTCAGAAATAAGATGGCTCATTATGACTTTTGTTCCATGGATTACGATGTACACATATGACAATTCTGTCGCTGTAAACAATGTTTTCTTACTTCAGAGTTTCCTTGTGCTACTTGATAAGCCAAGATAAACGCCCCCCAAACACGCACATGACATACTTGGAAACTGATGCAAAAAATAATAAAATAATAATACAAATAAAAATTGAGACTCCATAGGCTGCCAATTTATTTATTTCAGTAAATTTTCTATAACGTCTTTCCATTGCTCCATCACAGTGCATGGCAATAAATTTTTTTTTATACATGTAAATTAACTATAACATCATTAAAACTCCTATTATCCCTAAAAATAAAACAACACAGAGAAAGCCTCACTTAGCTCCTGATTGCTTGATTACTCCCAGTTGACAAGAGACCTGAACTCCCCTGCTCTTTAAGATCAAAAGAAGAAGTGCTGCTATAAGTGAGAGAATAACTCCCCTGAGTTGTGCTGGACTCTACCTAGTAGATATTTCTTGCTTCTATTGTCTATTCATTAGATCACACTATGCATTCACTGAACAAAGCCCCATGCAACCTCAACACTTTTGAAAAGGAATGACTTCTTGGGATATTTTGTTCAGAACTGTTTTTTTCAGGCAAAGGTACACTGAATACAGCTTTTCTTAGTCAGGCTTCTAACAACCTAAATATTATACAGTAATGCAGACTGTTATAGGGTTGGCACTGTTGCAATTTCCCCTACAAGTTCCTCACAAGTAAGTACTGTATGTGGAAATGAAAAGTGGGAGTTAAGGGAGATGAGGTGCAATCAAGGATTTTAACAGTACAGACTTAGAATACAAATGCATATAATAACATGCATTTCAAAACAGCATCTTCTAGCTCTCAACACACATACACTGGCAGATTCACATTATTGTGAATTGTTGTTGTTATTTCTATACAACCCTTCATCCGAAGATCACAGGATGGTTTACGATATAAGAAAGACCCTCTTGCCTGACATGATGTCTAAAATATTGGTCTCATAGTTTATTTCTGCCAAGGAACATCTTTCCATGACCCCATAGATCAGCACGGACTCATTTCCAAATAGCGTGAAGACAATTGAAATCTCACCTTGAAATCTTCCAGTAGATCCTCTTTTAACAACATGATCTCTAGCTCATCATCTCTGGCTTGCTGTAAGAGTATGCAATGAAGAAGACTCAGATAAGTGTGACCCCACTTATCAGCAAAGAGTTTAGAGCATCTAGTATCGCCCAGTTTCTTTTACATGTGAGCATTCAGATTTGATGCAACTTCTTATCTGAGGGTCTTCCCTCTCTACTGCATCCACTCGTAGATAATAGCTATGACAAATATTGTTACAGCAAGCTTTTAATTGCACAGGATATATATACATTATAGTATATGCCTAACCTTTGTATATGCCTAAACTTTTGTGAATGATTAAACTCAGATTTCAAATGTATGGCTATCTAAAAGCTCAGAAATACACCAGTAAAAGCAATATACACTTAAATGTAATCACCAGCCTTCTCTCATGCATGTCTAAAAAAATGGGGCAATGGATATAGAGTTTCAGCTATTCATACATTTCATCTGTTATTGTTGTCCTTCACACATGCATATCAACTTTCTCCAAATATCTGGACATTCATGGTAACCTAGAATAACATAAATGTTACTCAGATCCCCTCAGAAACATTTTGGTTCCTAACAAGCTTTCTCCCCTTCCCAAAATCAGAAAATGAGTTAACCTTAAAAGTTTTTCTTGTCAGTTTCAATCACAACTGTTCACATAATTTCATTAGACAGCATTTGAAATGAAAGGCACAATCTATCAAAAAATTCACTGAATCCCATTCATTTTGTTGGGGCTTGCACAGGAGAACTTCTTGGTGGTTTGTGTCCCAAGCAATGCATCTCTTGTACTTATCAGCAAGTATTTATTTTATTAAATGTCTATCTCACCTTTCTTCCCAAAAGTGTCCAGAAAAATAATAAAACAATACAACAATATTTTTTTAAGCTGCTTAAAACATGTCAACTGAAAACATTTTTTTAAAAAAAATCAAAACATGGAAAAACAAATAGCACAGTAAGCTATGTTAAGTGTTTTCAATTGCTATACAAAAAGAAGCAAAGCCTTTTTCCTCCACTCTTCCTAAACTCTGGATCCAATAGAAGCTGCTAGAGGAAGAAAGGATCGTCATACTCACAAAATAATCTCTAATCTCATGAAACGTGACCCGCAACTCTCGGAGCTTGTGAGGCAGGATGTCTGCAAAACGCTTACAGCTGCTTTCGGAGAGATGGCCCTGTGCATTCTCGAGGTTGAGCACCAGGGACAGAAGAGTAAAGGCTCTGAGAGAGTTCATGCCTTCACAGATTTCCTTTGTGGTTCAGCTCAATTTGCAAGAGGCAAAAAGCCAGATCTGAATGCCCATCACCTTGATTGGCTCCTAATTTATACCATCCAGCTTCCTTCCTCATTTCGCAGGATATGGTACTCAAATTAACCAAAAGGTCAACCTCTTCCCATAAAAAGTTTTTTTTTTAAATAGAAAAAGAATTGCCAAGACCCCTTCCTTCTATCTTTTTACATAATTTCCTTCTTGTAAATTTAAATGTAGGAAAGGAGAAAGGAAAGATTGTGCTGTGTTAATTACAGTATGATGGAAACATAAAAAGGTGCTTTTCTCATTTATCATGGTATTTTGTTCCTTTAGTTCCTAAATTTTAGGTAAATGTCCTTATTGTAAGGGAGAAAATGACCTTTCACTATTTAAATCTCTGAAAACCCAATTAAATTGTTGTTTTTCCTGTTAAACTGCCACAACTGGTAGGCAAATCAATTTCAGATTTTTAAAACACATCTCTGAAAAGCGTAAAGGTTTTCCCCAACTATGTAAAATCCCCATATATATCTCAATGCAAATAAGGATTAACCAGACAAAAATAACACAAGAGATTAATTGTAAAACAATATATCCTGTTCGTTTCATGTTTGCTAAGGAGATGCAGCTAAAATCCCCATGGGTTTAATATATTACCTATTTCAACTGCAAATATTATTCCTGACACTTTTAAATTTTTGCACTTTTCTAAATATATATATGTATGTTTTTCTGTATTGTTGAGCGCTGCATAGTTCTGCTCTGGGCTGTTTTCACCATGACCAGACTATCTCTGTTCAACACTGAGGAACCTACGAGGTTCCACTGGTCTCTGGGGGTGGACCATCTGAATTGGTGCCCCACTGCTACAAGGTAAGACTGCCACCAAAATTCCAAACTTCACCTGGAAGTGGTCTCACCACAACAACATGGTAAGGCACTCCACTCTATCCAGACCACCCCTCTCTCTACTGCGAGCAAGGGCTAGATCAAGGGTACACCTGCTCTGTGCATTGGCCAGATAACCATATGGTATGAAACAGTCCCATGGCTGCCATGGAGGCCATGAAATCTTGGGCTGGCCTCAAGGCATTCGCAGCACACACGCTGAAGTCACCCAGGACAAGAGACCTGGGTGGTTCTTCCAAAACCACACTGGAGGCAGTCTGGAGACCAGCTCAGTAAGGGAGGCTGTTGAGCTGAAAGGTACACCAAGAGTATTCCCAGCCTGCCTCCATGACTGACATGGAATGCAGACGAGTAGTGGGAGGTACCAGCTGGGGAACCCCCAAGGGAAGAAGGCTCAGACCAAGGAATTGGTGATGGGATGACAATGAGTGGTCAGAGGGAGAAGGGAGAGCAGACCAGGAGGAGGAGGTGCTGAAAGCTGAAGAGGTAACAGGGTTTAGTGAGCAGGAAGAGGCTGTGGCAGAGTCAGAATTAGAGTGGAAGCTGAAGAGGAGGGAGGCCAAGAGGTAGATTGGTGGTGGCTGCTGAAGAAGCCAGTGAGTGCCCCCCTCTTGCTGTGACCAGCTCCCCTCCTCCCTGGACAAAGAAAGAAAAGTCGAAGGAGCCTTAGATTGCTTGGGAAGGACCTGAAGACGAAGGAGTCTTAGAGAACAGAGGGAAGGAGGGGACCTTCTGTCCTTGCACCTGCCTCATTGGGGCAAGACCTGCTGGGAACAGTTGCTGCGCTCACCAGTTAATTTCACAGACGCTCTTTGAGTTATTGCTAACCTGCTCCCAACCCCTGCCTTGACAATGACCCCACACCAGATGCCGTGCAGCTCCCATGCAGAGAGGTTTCTTAGTAAATGACAGTTAACTTCTATGAACCGTGGCAAATGTCTCCCACTCCCCAACCCTCCGGTCAGAACTGAAGCTGCGCAGAGTGCCCAGGTGGGCACAACCATGTCAGGTTAGGGACATCCCCCACCCATCTCAATTATACAGACTAGATCAGCCTGTTTATTCACAATAAGATAATGGATCAGCACAGTCTTATAATGAACCAGCCTAGCATTCAGTAACAACAACAGCAGTCCATTGGGCACAGCTTCCAATGATACCACAGGTGGGAAATTGGTTAGTGCAAGCAACATAACGCATGTATCTATAAGTCTCCATCTGACCCACCCCCCTCCAGCCATGTCCTCTTCTCTCCCCCCCCCCAAACCACTGGCATGCTTGATTATCTGTGAGTCCTCCTTAGTCTGTCTCCCTCCCAGCCACATCTTTTGAGCACCCTCCCCTCAGAATGCACACTCTGTTCCAGGCCCTCGCAAACTCACAGTGCAGGCAGTACAATCCTACGTATGTTTGCTTAGAAGCTGCTCCAGTGTAGTTCTGTAGGACTTAGCTGCAATCCTAAATGTACTGACAATTATAATATTAAATCACAGGACACTGGGAAAACAGCACTGTTCTGCTGTCAATATGTACTTTGGACGGCTAGGAGAAACTCCTACTGGCATCCTTTCAAATGTTATGTTTGGAACAAATGCCACAGGCAAGTACAAAGTGCTCCTGAAGTGAATGGGAGACTGTAATTGTGCTTTATAGACAGTTTTTGCATAAGTATGTCAACATCTGTCAATAGATTTGAGATGCGATAGCTAGGTGCGACCTCTGTAATATCTAGAGGCAGATGCACCTAGCGTAGTAGATGCTGGCGACAACCAAGAAGGGATGACCACCACCTTGCTGTCATGCTTGTGAGCTTCCAGAGGCCACTGGCTGGTCACTGCTGAGTTTTATTTAGTAAGGCAATTCTTCCATTCTTCCATGAAATGTCTGTGTTCTAACCTTTTCTGCAGTGGGTGGGGGAGGAAATTTACATTTGTAGAATGTAATTTACATTTGTAGAATCTGATTTTTTTTTAAAAAAAATTGGTGGTTGATTCCAGTAATATTTCAGCATGGATTTGATTTGATTTGCTTATTGCACATGTTCTCTCTTTCCCAGATTCTTTTTCTTGATGTCAGCACATACAGCATTATACTTGGGGTAACTGGAGTGCCTCTCAGAATGTGTCATTAAAACTGCTTCTCTATCATATTCCATCTGAAAGTGGTCTTTTTAAAGTCTCTTGAGGGAATTGTGTATTTTATATACTTGCAGTGGTGGACTATTGTGTAATGAAGAAACAAAAGGGGTGGAAAATTACATGGGTAGGGGAAAAGGGATTTGGTCTGCACGCTCATATAAACCAGGAAAGCGGACCATAGTGGCAAGAGGAGTGTTGTTAAGACTGCTGCCTTCACCTCACTTCACAAGTTCTAATATTTTTACTTACAATTCAAGATGCTAATTGATATAGTCAATAAAACTCTGAAACAGCCATGGGCCATAAATACTGTAGCTTCAATGTGAAATTTCTGTCATTTAAACCTATTGATTTCACTGGTCTTAAGCATGCCTAAACTCTGCTGCATGATGGACAAGCCCTTTAGTCTCGGAGTATGATATTATATAAATGCATGACTGGTCTATAGGAAAACTTTCTCGCATATTTTGCTTTATTAATGGCAGTTATAATGGCATTAGTAATAATTCAGACTGGATTTCAAGATTTGATATTTTAAGATTTAAAATATGTGCTGTTAATCAGCAAATATGGAATCTTGATTGCTATAACGACTGTGTTTCTTTTTCATATACAACTGCACTAGCATTTTCTATTTTTTTGTCCCAACGTTTTAAAATAATACCTAAATTCTATTCATATTCTTAAAAGTATGATTGGCCATGATCCATTCCCAGGGCTTTGATAAACTATGGGCCACAACAGTGATGACAAACCTTTTAGAGACAGAGTGCCCAAACTGCAACCCAAAACCCACTTATTTATCGCAAAGTGCCAACATGGCAATTTAACCTGTATATCTTCATTTTTCTCTGTGTTTCACGTTTCTTCTTTATGACTGCTGTTGTAATAAATAATCCGTCATTAAATTATCTTTTCATTGATATATAATTTTATGGTATAACTCAGTGCTTTTTTTTCTTAAAAAAATGTTTAGGGGTACTCTCATTTTGACTCAAGAAAATCTCCACCAGGGAAAAATAAATACAGTTCAAATTGGGAAAAATAAATACAATAAATTTCTTCTCCCGTTAAATTCACAAAATGTTTAAGGGTATGCGTCCCCCTGTGTCCCCACAGAAAAAAAGCCCTGGTATTACTCCAAAACAAAGTGGTGTTATGAGCCATCAAACCTCTGAAATAAATTTTCCCCAGGAGGTTCCACAATTCTGGAAACTAGTGTACACTGGAGGGCTGTACTAAGAGCCACCCTCTCCCAATTTTTAATATGAGATAATAATGATAGTCTGCATGTGCACATACAAATATAAATAAATAAATAAACCCAACAAGATGGGCAGGCTATTATTAGCCATTTCTTTTGCTGCTGTTTGATCGCAGCCTCCATGGAATGAATTTCTCTGTTGGCTTCCGCGGGAAAGCCCAGTGAACATGTAAACCCAGCAGCCCCTTCTTAGGTTGCCGTCTTTATATGCTTACTAACCTGGGAGTTAAGCCCTGCTGAACTCAAGACAGCTTTCTCCTGAGTAGGAAAATCAGACTGGCTTGAGGCCCTGGTGCATCAAAAGTCAATGCCTGCTCAGCCCCTCGATGCTCGCCAAGCCCTGGTGCCGCAGGCTTTGGACAGTACGTGCGAGCCCGCCACTCCTCCTCCACCCCCAGCACGGAAGCTACGGCTCTGCTGGGGTGATGGCACACATGCCCACAGAGAGGGCTCTGGGTGCCCTCTCTGGCACACATACCATAGGTTCGCCACCACTGAGCCAGAGGCTGCAGGGGAGAGTAAGTCAGTACTTCATAAATCAAAAAATGTGCACTAATCTTTCCATATTGGTGGAAGGACCATAGGTAGAACATCTGTTTTGCATGCAGAAGATTCCAGGTTCTACATCAAGTTTAAAAGACCATATAACATGTGATGGAAGACTTCTGCCACTCAGAGTGGACAATGCTGGGCTAAATGGGGGGTGGGGAGAAAGCAGTTTTCTATATTTGCTGGAGTCTTGCCCAATATGAAGACAAAAGTGAATTGAATTTTTCACATTATCTCTGAATGGATATAAATAGTAATTTATAAATAGTAATGTTTTTATCCTGGCTACTGTCCCACACTTCTTTCTCTCCATCGTTATTTTTGATCTAACGGAATGTGTTGAATTATACCTATCCTCTTTTATGGGTTATGCATATCAAAGTAGGTGTGGCCAAGATGTGATACTGGACTCAGTGAGAATGGCAGATCTCAAGGTTATTTACCAAGTCTTTCCCAACAGCTATTCTACACAGTTTGGAAACTGTTTGGAAATTCATAGACTGCAAAATTTCTAACAGCTGGCATTAAAGGCCACTATGGTGATCTCTGAATCTCAAATTGTATAATTTTTTATCTGGCAATTTTATGTGTTCAGTTGCATTTTTATGTTTGATGTACTCTGGAAATATATTGCAATAGCTGAAGGCTGATGCAAATAATTGTTTTCCTTTGTACACACTGCCTTGTGTGACAGTTTTCTTGTCTGTGACATGGTTGGCTTGCTTAAATGTTTTGGAAGGCACCGCTGTGGTCAATCACCAGTGCTTACATAAAATAAATACTGTTGAAAGACTGGTGATTGGAATACTCCAAACGCTGCCTCTTATTTGAATGATTTATTAAAAAATATTTCTTATTTGTAAATTTAATAAGTAAAGTAGAAGAAGAGAAAGGGGGAAATGAAATTAAAAGAAAGAAAGAAAGAAAGAAAGAAAGAAAGAAAGAAAGAAAGAAAGAAAGACAATCTACAGTTAATACTACTAATAGCAGTAAACAATGAACAATTCACATTGCAGATACAGGGACCATAATTTCATGAATCTTAAATGAATCATATAAATTAATATAAGCCTGCCAGATACCAAAATAGGTATCCACGCAGAATTGACATATATGTGAATGGATGCAGCCAGGGCAGTGAGTTCATTAGAACACTGTGTAATAGTGGGTATTTCTCCTTGTAGCAATACGGTATATATAAATCGCTTAGCCACCATAATAGCTCACAAAGTTCACTTTCGTTGTCCAGACTTTAATCCCCTTTGGAATATAGTTTTAAAATACATGAACACCTGCAAATATCAAGGGTTTTACCAGTATAAAATTGATGTGTCAACAATGTGAGACTAAAAAGAATATATTACTGCATGTGCCCTAGTCATGTGTCTCAACAAGGCATTTCCAGCATTACATCTCCAGCACCTAGCTGTTTGAGACAGTGCCTTCCTCTAAACATCTGTAGGTCATTGTATACATTTGTAGGTCGTTGAAGTTTCTCAGAAGCAGAAAGGTTTATGATAACCTTAAGCATTCTGCTCAGTTCTGGATGTAGATGTCAGAACAAATGGGACCAACGGGTGAGAACTGAACACACAAACAATTTCCTCCAACACAGCATGTTTGCATTTCCATTTTTCTAGTGTAACGTAATCTATGCATTTGTTTATCTCCTGCTTTGTGGTTGGATTAAAAAACATATTATTAGTGACAATTTCTAGCTCTAGTTTTCATGAAAGAGAAAGCATTAATCAAACTGGCCTCGTGTGAGATTGCCGCAGTTTCATGTTAGTTTCGTATTCACAGAATGCTGATATGACGCGCAACCTTTTTCTCCTGCATCATGGTTTTCTAAAACACCCAGTTCTTTTGTGTCATTCAGCATCTTTGGTCTGGTGGAATAATCTTCTCATAATACTACGTTCATTTAGGAAGCAGCTAAACAAGATATGGATCAAAATGCCCCACTTTTGACAACCATATATGTAGACATGTCAGATTGGGGCTGTGGGGCTGCAAACCTTTCTCCACAGTTCCCACCCCCCTCAGTCTACCTCTCCTGTATCCCCCCCAAAGTTGATGGGCATTGCCATTCCAATGGTGTGCATGAGCCATGTAATGCGATCAATTATTGGGGCGGGGCTTACCTCCCCCCCCCCCAATATTTTATTCAAGTTGGCACCCCTGCACTGTACTCTTTGTATCCTAAAGCATTTTTTAATACACCCACATCCCTCTGTATGCTCTTTAGGAATAAGATGTTTTGGTATCATGTGTAGGAAGCATGTTACTATTTTCTGCAGATCATGACAGTGCAGTTTCAGTTTTAATTCCTAAGCTTTGCTTATTGGCATACTTGGAATTCAAACTGACAACTTCTGTGTACTTGGTGAAACAGAAATCCAGGAGGAAAATGTTAGATAATATATCTTCTTCCTCTCTTTTAATTTTTTCCCAAAAAAAAACATTTTCAGAATGAAAAATAATACCATCTGTATGTCATTATTTTCTACTGTGAGCACAGGAAATACCCGATGATATATTTATTTTATTTTAAACTTTATACACCACTCTTCATCATAAGATCTCAGGGTGGTTTACAGAATAAAAACGTACAATAAACATGATGCTGCATTCAGGAAAAGCTCATGCAAAGGAAATATGTGCCTGGCATCCCATTACATCTATACTTAGAACTCTGTTCAGGTTGATATCCATCTGTCTTGGGAGACAATGGAGCCTTTGAGGGTGACGTCAAACTGTTGGAAGGTTACAGCACCTGCTGTGGCTGTAGAGGCTGATATGGGAGAGACATGTTTTGTTGCAGCTGGGGTAGATGAACTATGTAATAATCGAATTAAAATCAAGGTGACTGGATGCAATGCAACAGTTTTTAAAATGGCTGGTTTTGGGTCATTCCTTTCCCATCATCTGCCAAAAAAGCCCTAATAATCTGTCAAGGTGTCCTGGTTCCTGCCCAACACATGCAAGCAGCGACTCTTATTTATAAGTAAGAGATCTTTACTCAGGCAAGTATTGGTACAGGCTCAGGAGCAGGCAGTGCTCAGGAGGCACAATTCAGCAGGACAAGAAGTTCAGAACTGGACAGAAGAGACAAAGATGTCCCCCCAAAAGCTCCTCTCCCACCAGCTTTTAAAGACAAAGTGTGGTGTGATCACCCATGAGACTCTCATGCATTGTGAGAATGTAAAGCTTTCAAGTGCACTCTGTTAGGGCAGGTGGGTCTGCTCCTATCTGTGAAGGAAGTGTCTGGTTCCAGGAGACAAGGCTGCACCCTCCTATTCAGACTCCATTTCAGTCTCTGCCACCTTCATGCTCCCTCATTGGCTGATCAACCCCCATACCTGCTCCTTCTCTGAGGCTGTCTGCTCCACAGGAAGGTCAGAAAGGAGAGCCAGCCTCCCCGCTCCCCCTTCCAAAGTGTCCCCCCCTCTCCTCCAGCCCACGTTCCACCATTCAGCCTCCTTCTGTTTCTTTCTTCTCCTGTGTCAAAGCCTGCCAATCCAAGTCCAAGCCTGACAGTAATGTGGATCTCAAGACGCAAGGAAGCCTAACTGCTTGCAAAGGACAAAGAGAGCATATACACAAATCATAACCAAAAGACTGAGTTTGTTAGTGACCTAAAAGAGTGTGGGTGGGTAGGTGCTAAATGGAAAGTGAAGAGTGGTGTGCAAATTATCTCATAGGAAAGCTTTCTCACCATTACCGAATGTTAAGGAACCCAGAGGCAGAAGCAGTTTATTGAGTGGAGAGGAGCCACTGCACAAACTTCCCGGCAGGTGTTGTCACTGTTGCTTACCAGAAAGAAGAGGGGAAGAATGAGATGGTGGGGGAGTCAGCATGGTGCAAACAACAACAGAGCCAATCTGAGGCACCTGCTCATGTGTTTGCACCATGCTGTCCTCCTCACCCCCTTGCTCTTTCCCTTTTTTCTCCTGGTAAGCAACAACAACCCACCTGCCGGGAAGCTAACATAGCAGCTCTTCCCCACCCCATGACCACTTCTGCCCAGGAGTCACCAGAACTACTGATCAAACAAATCTGCAGTTGATTTACTTCACCCAATATAGCCTGGTGTGCCAGGCAGTTGCTCTCCAATATCTCCGGCAAAAGTATTTCCCAATCCTGTTGCCTGATGAAGGTGAAGGGATGTTGTGGGGCTCTCAGTATAGTGGTATCTTGGTTCTCGAACTTAAACCATTCTGGGAGTGTGTAGGCTTATGGCCTGATTGGAGCAACAAAGCTGCATTCTGTTTGATTCAGTTTGGTACAGAGGTCTGTGTTAACTGGCTGCCACAGCACAGAAATAGGCAAACTGGACTTGCAGGATGAATATCTCACAAGGTGAGAGATTGAGAGATGACAGGAAGGCTCCCAGGTGAGAGCTGGGAGGGTCTGTCATTTTCTGTGGTGGCCGGGATTAAGAGCTACTTTTGGATAGAGAGAAGATCCTGCATTTGTGCACTGTTCTGTATTTTAGATATCCAGCTGCTGATTTTTCTCCTCCTTTATTTTTTGTATGCTGTCCCTGCTATGAGAATCTGTATTTTATTATGTACTTATTGTATTTATATAACTGTTTTGATTTTTACATTGTATAGATATTGTGTTATGTATTGGCACTTATGTTCTATGTTGCAAGCCCACCCTGCGATCAGTATACCTGAAGGAGCGTCTCCACCCCCATCGTTCTGCCCGGACACTGAGGTCCAGCACCGAGGGCCTTCTGGCGGTTCCCTCACTGCGAGAAGCCAAGTTACGGGTAACCAGGCAGAGGGCCTTCTCGGTAGTGGCGCCCACCCTGTGGAACGCCCTCCCACCAGATATCAAAGAGAAAAACAACTACCAGACTTTTAGAAGACATCTGAAGGCAGCCCTGTTTAGGGAAGTTTTAATGTTTAATGGACTATTGAATTTTAATATTCTGTTGGAAGCCACCCAGAGTGGCTGGGGAAACCCAGCCAGATGGGTGGGGTATTATTATTATTATTATTATTATTATTATTATTATGGGCAGAATGACCGCTCCCCACATTAAATGGGGGGGGCGGGCGCCCTTTGTGTGGTTGCGTGCAGCCCCTGGGACCCTATGCGGTACCATTAACACAGGCTTGGCTTGGCCTTCCCCAGGTGGGATACCTGGAGGCCTCTGCCTACCTCAGCCAGTTGCCCAATCCCACCAGGGAGGTGTTGCCAAGGTAATCAGGCCAGGTAGGGGGAGGGACCACCCTGCCCACAAATAAATAAACCCAATAGGAGATGCCAGGGATCAAACACAGGACACTCTCTATGCAAAACATGAGCCTCATGTGCCATGAATGATGCAAACTGCCACTCTAATCTTAGATTCATTTTTCACATCCTAAAAACCATTGTAAATACGACATACAAAATGACTTAGTTTCACCATCCTCTTGCAGTGCCCTGGAAGGTCGCACTCTGCTTTCATGTGAAGCTTCTAGTGGAAAGTTCTCAGAGGCAACATAGTTTGGTATTGCAACAAAGGGTGTGAATCTGTGTGTGAGAAGGCGGTGGGTGGGACTTCAGAGGGCCTGAACACCTCAGTCCTTCCATCAGTTTTTATGCAGATCAATATCCTTTCAATACAATATTTTCACATTACTTTAAGACAGGGTTCACCAACCCTTTGGAATATGTGGGCATATTAGCAAACCAGGGAAAGTGTTGAACACACGCACATAATGCAACTAAGCACACACCACAATGTATTAAAAACTTGCTCAAATAGAATGTTTCTTTTGAGCCTAATTTCAGCATGGGAAGCAACTCAGAAACTCAGATCAAAGCACAGAGGGACTGAGAAACAAGTCCTTAAAAAATAGAAAGAAGCACAGATCCAATGTTAAACTTGGAGCATCAGGACCCCTATTACATATATTAACAGAGACTATGTTGCTTTAGAAGCAGCTTTGATTGTGTGCACCCAGTGTGGAATAATGGACTCCAACTTATCTTTTGGAACAGCTAAGAAAAGCATTGGATAGAGTAAAAAGAAGAAATGTAACTATAAGCAAACAAATTGTCAGGCTTCAGGGAATTGGCTTCCTCTCCCCGTGGCAGTAGATAAGAAGATCAAACGAAAGGAACATCTTACCAGTTAGAATCTTTAATAATCACAGTGAAAGAACAAAGAACACGTCTCTTAGAAATGGCAGTGCTCCCAATTAAGGGTCACTCCCCCCACCATCCCTATTAATCTACATCACTCTTACATCTTGTAGACTGAGTTTGTACCCTCTGCGCTTTCTGTTCTAACACTTTCTGAGCTCTCCGTGATTTTGGAGGAGGGGAGCGAATGCTGTCCAGAGACTGTGAATCTGTTAACTCTCTCTTCTAGTGTTTCTTTTCCTAGCTGTTCCCCATCCAGATTTCCCAGCTTCTGCCTTCTGAACTCTGCCCCTCTGCAAACCACTCTTCCAAATCTATGCTGCCCTCCTGCTCCTGGGAAGATTTAGGATCAGGATCAGAGGGAGGGGGTGGCTCCCACTCTTCTTCCTCAGTGCAGCCCTCCTCAGCATGGTCCCTGATACAAACATATCACACAAAGATTAGGAGTAAATATGAATATGCTAATCATCAAAAGGTCTATTACTGCTGGGAGAATTTTATATATTAACTTTATACCCTTTTATAAGATTTTGTGGTGTGCACCACTTAAGAAATTTTTGATTATGTGGCATGTACACTTGTATAACAGCAACAACATCTTTTGCTATTTTAGGGTTTTGTGTGTGAGTTTTTTTGTTTTTTGTTTTAAGACAATGGAACATAAAAGTACACATACAAAACAACATGTACTTTTATTTATTTTCATTTTCTTGAAAATAGAAAAAATCTGATTGGTTTCAATAGGACATACTTCCATGTACATACATGCTTAGGAATGCAAAATGAGGCAGCATACCTGTATAGAATTAATCTGTTTGGGATTTCAGCAGACTAACCTTGCACAGGATTCATCCCATGGCTAAGATCTAACACCACAGCAATGAACACTATAGGACTTCCCCTTTTTTCTCTCCTTCCTGTACCCACCTCTACTACAAAGGATCCCACAACCCTCCAGAGCAGATTTTGAAGGAAATGGGATAGGGAAAGAAAGGACGGATATGCCCAGTTTTAAACCTGGGACTCAGCTTTTTGGTAAAGAAGACACATTTTATATTTACTGGATATGCATTATAACATTGTGACACCAGATGGTGCTGTGGAGTTCAGTTTTTGCCAACCTGATTTCTCATACAAAGTTTACAATGCGTTTAACTGAAATGTTTCTTTGATGTGTCTAGATCCAGCCCTGGATGTCAGTTGTGCAATGTGGGACTCTGCAATTGGATATCACCCCATGGCTATAAAGGGTGTTTAAAAGTCAGGCAACAATGTAAACTTGAAACCAGAAGCTCTAAAGAAGGCATGTTTGATGTCTGCAAACTCACTTTTGAAAAGTCAAAAGAAGGGGTGGGGGAAACTACCCTATTGAAAACCAGGGAATGATTGGTGCCTAAATTCACCATTTCTTTGAAAATCCACTAGTAAAGTTGGGAATTGGTGATTGTGCTAAAATTAAACTGGTGGTTCCTATATTTGCAGGGTGAACAGGAGACAGACTATTGTGTAAAGAGACTGGGAAATTTTACAATGCCTGTCATTCTCCTTGAAATAACTCGTCATCAGTGTTCTTTGTTTTATATAACTGCTTTAAGCAATCCCCTAGAATTCCACAGTAACATATCAATGTGCCTCTTTCTCTCATGCCTTTTCATTCTTTGCTGTCTACTAAGACATCTATATCTAGAAATTTGGTATATCAAATTCCATGTCTTGAAAGGTAACACAAGAATTCCCTATTATTCATCTTCTTAAAGTAATATGTCAAGCAATCTATTTAAAATGAGTTGGCCTCTCTAACGATGACTAATATTTTCCAATAGCAATACCCTTTGCATTTAGACACCATCAGTGGGTTTTTTCTCTCTTAGCAAACACAAAATTGTTTTTCCTGGGAACTGGATTTTGTATATGTATGTCAAGCAAATAAATATGACTCATATTGATGTTTGTGTGTACATTCCAAGTGACTCTAGAAAGGCAAGTTGTGGTGTCTCCCTTTTCATAATCATGACCTATGAGCAATTTGGCCAATACGCTCTTTCTTTCCTGTGTCCATCTGCAGTCTTGAAGATCAGTGTTCAGTATGCAAAAGCTTTCCCAGGTTCAAACCATAAAAATATGTAGAAAGACTTTCTCGGTGAATGCTCTCTAATAACTCTGCAACTCAATGGCTCCACTCCTGCTTTAACTAGGTACAACCGCTAGTGGCCCTAAATGGAGATGCCCATTTCTGCCCACATCTAAATCCAGCAGGTTTAATGAGGTTCAGATGAGCAGAATGATGCAAATACACCCGTGTCCGTATCGACTGGGTACATCGATCTCTCTTGCTCAACGGGGATGTTGATTTTCCTGTATCATCATGTTCACCAGATTCAGAGCGATAGGGCGATAGAAGGTCCTGTTTATTTGGGCAAAGTAAGGATTTATTGTAGTGTTAGCTGTAGTTACTCTGCATGTGTGTGTGAGAGAGAGAGAGAGAACACACATAGTTCACACATCTGCCCCAGACCAATACTACTTACATCAACTGGCTGCCACATTCAGTTTAATAAGCAGGAAAGGAATGTTTAGGAAATTTTTAATGTTTGATGTTCTATTGTGATTTTAATTCTGTCAGAAGCCATCCAGAGTGACTGGGGAAACCTAGCCAGATGGGTGGGGTATAGATAAATTTATTATTATTATTATTATTATTATTATTACATGGATCTGAATAGTGGAGCCACTGCATACATACACGTTCCTTGTCTGCATCAGAGCTATCTGAGATGCAGGGCAGTGGAGGGGGCTGTCTGTTGGGTGTCTTCAAGCTGTGCCTCCACCTATGCTC